CATGAACTGTAAATGTGTAATATCATGACCAAGGTAAGTCACTGAGAGAAAATGAGCAGCTTGGTCACAGAAAAGGCCACTCAGATTATATACCTAAAACAACTTTATAATTCCCAGTTGGTTACCTGCAGTTGATTCGTATAGCTCATGGATAGCTTGTATGTGACCCTTGAATTGTTGGAAGGAACAGCAAATCCCACAATCCCCTCAGCATGCAGTTAGAATTCATCTCTTTCCTTTGAGCCCGCACATTCCCATCCCTGGTTCCTCAACTTTATGAATCTGATCCCCTTCAAGAAGACAGAATGTGGCTTGTCAAATACTGACTGCAAACTGCCCACTTCCTCAAAGGAAGTGTATTTTTACTACAGTCCTTGAGGGAAAATATTTTGAACTAGAACACTGGCAAGAATGAGGAGGAATTGACCATTTTTTTCTTCATCAATGAGACTGATTTGAATCAAAGTGTCTGCATCTATATTTGGATCTCTTCTAAATTGGATACTCCATTTTATATGCCTCTTTTTTCTTGTTTTCATCCACTCCTGCATTCCGAGTTTCTGGCTGACTGATTTCTGTTGCCTTTCTTAGGTGTGGTTACCATTATTGTCTTCCTATATATATATATATAGTTCCAAGTTGTGAAAGGCCACTTTAGATAATACAATGTGTTTCTTGTTTGGATGCTACGTGAGGCACATCTGTCACTTTGAAAAGGCCAAGTTTGTCCTACATTTAGTACTAAGAGAACAAAATGTATGTGTTGGTGGTCAGGGTCTATTTGAGAGATTTTATAGGGGAGAATTAATGCTGGGCAGCACTCAGAATTCAGATATTTAAAATTCATGCTGTGAAGTAATATTGAGACCTGTGGTTGAAATACAAATAGAAAACATAATGGAATAATTTTTTTTCCCCAATGTATTTGCTGTTTAGTAGGAAACTAAGAGGAGAATAAAATGCTTTGGAAATACTTTGTACAAAGTTTACAGAATTAGAATTTAAGAAGAGCTCCTCAGTGCCAGGGCACTTTTTTCTTACTCAGGTGTCCAAAACAGTGGTGGGAAGGAACATGTAAAACAGGGTTCCTCAAACTTGGCAACTTTAAGACAGGTGGACTTCAACTCCCAGAATTCCCCAGCTAGCCTTGCTGGCTGGGGAATTCTGGAAATTGAAGTCCACCCGTCTTAAAGTTGCCAAGGTTGAGGAACCCTGATGTAAAAGACCTGCCATTATCTTCCATGCTAAACGTGGCTAAGAATTTTGAGTGTTATAGTCTTACACAACTACAAGATGCCAAGTTACTCTGGGAGGAGATATCATTGAACATTTTGGAACTTACTTGTGAGTAGGCATGCACAGGATGATGCTATCAGCATATAACCATTACTGCATAATACAGTATCATCGTCTGCATCTAAACCTCCTCGGCTGATCAGGAATAATTGAACAAGAAAAGGAGGTTCCTTTTGAAAGTATCAAAATGAGTCCGCACAGCATGATTACTTGTAATTGCTAATAGTGGAATATCTTTTTTGATCTATCTATTCTCCATCCAGGGGAAAAAAGGCCACATAAACCTTTGTCAATGGAGAGGCTCACTGTTCTCAGGGCAGCTAATCAGAAATGGAAGAGTGAAACCAGGCCCTAATGGAAAGAGGAGTCAAAGAGAAACTAAAATTAGGTCGCCCCAAAGTGGAGACCTGTTACTGGGTCATCTGTGGAATGCTCTGCATTGGTGCCTTGGGTGAATCTCTTCTCTGGCCATCGATGCAGCTTCCTCAATTTCTAAACATGACTATTCAGACTCATAGATTTTAAAGGAGTTTATAAACTATCCAATATAGTTTATTCTGCATACCCTAGAATTCCAGTGGAGAAAGGGTAGCAGATGAGCAGGAATCAGAGCTATGTCCTCCTTCTATGGTTACAGCACTTCATGTATTCCCTTATAAAAAAAAGAACACTTCCTTCCAAAAAATTACAATTGAGAAGTGAATGGGTGTAAAGTTACATCAGCTGAGATCTCCCAGCAGGCCCAGTTCTTTAACTGTACCTAGGGCAGCTGCTATTTTTAAAGGGTGTGTGTGTCCAGCTATTATTGTTAAAGGGTGTGTATGTGTCCAGATGTGCAAATAATCCAGATGTCTCAGTGTTTCCTGTAGCCTGTGATGTGAGATGGGTGGGTGGGGGTAACTTCCTGTGCTCTCACTGCTGAAACTGTATAGATTAATCCCAAATGCTTTTTAAAATGCTTGGCCTAAGAGAGATGCTACTGCCAAAGGCTGAGGGGAGGAAAAAATCCAGTGTCTGCCAAGTTTGTGTTCATTCCTACATCCTTTGCACTACCCACACTATGTCCTGAAGGCAGAGCCCTGGCCTGCCTCAACTGTCTCTCTTCACTGTGGAAAACATAACTTGGCAATATTTGCCTAGTTGTGGTTTAAGCTCCCTTTTGTGGAGGAGGAGCTGGGAGCTGGTTTTCTCTTAACTAGCTGTAATGTAAGTGGGATCTGATTTTGTGTTGAACGGTATCTTTCTAAGAAGACCCACTCTCCCTGTAAGGCTTAGAGGATTATGCCACGGTGGAAATAAGGCAAAAAGGATGGCACATAATAAACATAAAGGAGGTTGTGCACTTTTTCATTTTCCTCTCTGTCCATACTGCCTTTGTATCTGGTCCCCTCTTACTTCATCGTCGTTCTATATGCGTATCTGGTTTTCATGGTGAAACCACTTGCAGGAGACACGACTGATCATTGTAGTGGTCTTTGTATTAGGGTTTGAGCCATTTCTGTTCACGTGAGCTTGTGAAGAGTTGGGCATATGGCCATTGGAGCGCCCCGTGTCCACATGTACTTTGAGAAGAGTATGCTTTCAGCTTAACAACAGCACAACAGTATGCTTAACCCTAGGAGGACTCCCCTATTGTATCAGTTTGGACTGGTCAAGTTACCTAGCAGTAACTTTGCTTCTCACTTAGTTATAGCCTTGAGGAAGTACTCAGCTACAAGTGTGCATATTTTACATTTCTCTGGGGCTGACTCAACTGTATGCCATGCTTGAGCTCTTCTTCCATCTCATAGCTCCCAAAAGTATGATACTGCACCAATATAAAGGAGAAACCAGGCATGTACGTACTAGTCTCTGTAGTGCTGAACACAAATCAGCACTCAAATATATTTGGTTGAAGATCCTGTTCTGACTTACAGTATCAAAGCACCAGTGCCTATTAGAAACAGACCTGTTCTCCTTTAAACTTATAGTGGAGGAAAGTATGTATGAATCTGTGACATTCACAGAGCAGGGGTGGCACTTAAATAGAAGTTTGAGAGCCTTGTGCTCTGCATAATAAATAGTGATGCCAACAGGTCTGCCCACCTGAACGGATTCCTGTATCTAAAACACAAGAAGACATTGTAGATTGGGTTGCATGTACTATATTGTACTATAAGCCAATGAGCATATGCTACAAATCCAGTGAACTCATTTCCCTAACCTGGTGAACTCAAGAATTAAAGGAAGGATTATAATTCCCATGGTCTCTGCTGAGCTTACTCCAACGATGGCAGAAGCATCTAGAGAGCATCGTATTGTAGAAGGCTGTTGTAAGCTAGGATGAATACATCAAAACACTCATGTAACACTCATGTAATCACAGCATCATCTTGAGGTTAGTAAATAGTACTACAGTCATTTTTCTTACTTAAACAATGAATTATATTGAAAAGTAATTTTGGACAGTATCAACAAGGGACTCAGATCTTCCTTTTGCTTTTTCTATGGCTCAGCAGTGATCAAGGAAGAATTATCTTAATAGGGCCCATTGTTTGCATATGGTTAGGTCTACTACAGTTAATGGTTGTTGGTAACTGGTGTAACAGTTGCAACCCACAACAACAAATGTAATCCCCCCCCCCATTGGAGACATTTCACCTGTATGTGAGTGGAGAGGCAGGCTGACCACCTGAAGAAGGCTTGAATGAAATCTAAATTCTGGTTATGTAGAAAACTGCCATTATTAATGCATTAGGAAAAAGACTAAAGTATTTGGATTTGTGTCTGTCCTTTTTTCCATTTAATTCAATGGGTAGGCTTTGAAATTGAAAAATTTGGCAACTGCAAGAAAAGACTCAAATTTTCAGTAGGTACTAAATAAGTTCAGCAGATACAAAATATACTTGGCACTGTAAGTTGCCGCTGGCTCTTCTACAGCTACATAAATGTACTGCTCTGCAAAATGCTACTGTAAGAGAGCATAATGCTTCTAAGGATTAACCACTTGCTGCTGAGCAACTGCTCCTGCATCCAATGTTAAGTGCAAAAATGCCTGGGGGACTCTTATTCACAATCAAACTATTGCAGTCAATTCTTGAACAATGAGATTCAGAACTGCTATCCTGTGAAGCAAACGGACACTCTGATGTATAGATCTATCCCCTACTCCCAGTCAACCGAGTTCTCAGGTCCATTTAATCAAGTTTTTTTTTTAAAAAATAATGTGGCATGATTTCCCCCTGCAGAAAAGTGTGACTGGGATTAACCCTGAAATAATTTCAGGACCATAATAATACACACACACACACGCACACACCACCCTTAGCATTTTAAATTGGTCCCTCTGATTATTTTTTTCCATATTACCTAATAGAGTTTTATTATTGCATGTACTGAATTGATCTGTTGTAATTCTTGAACCCTGATGTTTTTGTTATTGAACTGAATAAATAACTTTTTGTAAAGAGCTTTCAAGTTGTTTCACTCCTTGCCTTCTCTGTTTGCAGCTGACCAGACTGTGACTTGGAAGGCTTTCCACTGTGTGTAGCACGGAGATGGAGGCGATGTGAAAATAGAATCAAATGGATTCAGGGGAAAGAAGAGATGGGGTGGTGTCTGCAGGCCCCAAGGGCTCCACATGGACAGTCTTAAAACTTCACCAAGGCCTGCAAGGAACTGTTTTTGTTTAAATTCCCCCCCCTTTTTTTCTTTTTTGCCTTTTTTCCTATCTGGCAGTATGTACAAAGCCACATAATGAATTGCAGTAAATTATTATTTGGTGGTCTTGACACTGGTTTTGCATCTCTGTCATTGTTCCAAGGGATTGACTGACAGTGTCTGAGAGGAGGCTCATGCACAGCAAGACCCAACTTGTTCCTTCAATCAGCTTGAGCTCAGCTCACCAGGGGTAAAGACTGGGTGCATCTGCAGGTGGGCTGGCTTCCCACTTCAGTGCTGTGAAGCATGTAAGACAGGCAGCAAACTATATAATTCCTAGCTTGAAGGGTTTCATCTGAAAGAAGGGTAGCTGTTATCAGCAGAAGATCAAGGCTCTTTGGAAGGTACTGCCAAGAAGATTCACTTGTCTGTCATTCCACAGGGGTAGGAAAAACAACATGCTCTCGTGTATTAGCCATTTTCGGGAAGTGGGTAGGAAAGAAATAAAAATAGTTACACCTGTAGCTGTCCCTGGAACGTTGTTCCACTTGTCTCTGCCCATTGATTTATCTCTGTGTAAACCAGGAAGCTAATTATGCCTCTCTTACTTCTGGCTAATATCTCCCCTGTGCTAGAACAACCCAGTGGTTTTCCTTGCAGAGAGAAGATGGTCACTCTGGTAGAGATTCTCTTCAGGCCTGGATAATATTGTCAAGAATACTTGAGAAGGGGTTGGGGGAAAAGGGGTGGCAGTTTTTAGATGTTTGCCTTTTTTCTCTCCTGGTGTTGGAAGAATGTGTAAATATATAAATGACTCTACCTGAACCTGTTGATGGAGATTGAAGGATCTTGGATTCTCCAACTCTTAATTCAGTGTGTTTCACTGAGCCCAACCTTTGTCCATTCCCTGCTGCATCAAGGGGAAACAGTCCCTCCGTATACCTTTTGGGGGCACGGGGAGTTTTTTGTATTTTATTTTCCACAACCTTTGTGTCTTACAGGAGGGAGGAATTATCTAGTGGGCAAGAAATGGTTACTTGTATGTAGACTTTTAGCAGGTGTGCATAACTCTGGC